ATTCATGCTTGTAATCCTAGCATTCTGGGAGGCTGAGACAGGTGGATTGCCTGAGCTCAGGAGTTCGAGACCAGCCTAAGCAAGAGTGAGACCTCATCTCTACTAAAAATAGAAAAAGCAGCCAGGTGTTGTGTTAGGCACCTGTAGCCCCAGCTACTCAGGAGGCCGAGATTAGAGGATCGCCTAAGCCCAAGAGTTTGAGGTTGCCATGAGCTATGATGCCAGAGCACTTCTACCCAGGGTGACAAAGTGAGACTTTGTCTCAAAAAAAAAAATTTTTAGAGGCTAGAAGCAGTGGTTCACACTTGTAATCCTAGCACTCTTGGAGGCCAAGGTGGGTAGATCAGCCTGAGCAAGAGTGAGACCCCATCTCTACTAAAAATAGAAAAAACAGCTGAGTGTTGTGGCAGGCACCTGTAGTCCCAGCTACTCAGGAGGCTGAGATTAGAGGATCACCTGAGCCCAAGAGTTTTTGAGGTTGCTGTGAGCTATGATGATGCCACAGTACTCTACCCAGGGCGACAGAGTAGAACTCTGTCTAAAGAAAGAAGGAAGGGAGGGAGGGAGTGAGGGAGGAGGAAAAAATTAGAGATGTAGTAGTATGTCTGCTGCTTCCCTTCAATTGAGAGTGAGCAAGATTGCTGATGCACAGAGGGCAACAGATTTAAGAGACAGTGTGGTTTCAGGGGAGAAAGACTGAGAGCAAAAACAACTAACTAGGTTTCTAATGCCCTTTTTTCTTTGTTTTGTCCATTTTTAAACTAATGTAGCCAAATTTATTTATCTTTTACATTTTTGAGGGCCCTTCCACTATGTTGATGAGTCCGCCCTCTGCTGGAGACAAGGGGAGCTGCTGGGTATATCCAGGCCTCCTCTGGCAATTCGTTGCCAAATTCTCTGCCGTGCTGGGCAGGTAGCAATCCTGCTCAGTCCAGGGTATGAATCTGAAGCCATTCTCTAGTTTCCCTGAAAATAACAACCACAGTGGTTTGGCGTCTGTGGCACAGTGGTTACGGTACCAGCCACATACACTGAGACTGGCGGGTTAGAACCCATCCTGGGCCAGCTAAACAACAATAACTGCAACAAAAAATAGCTGGGTATGCAGTGGGTGCCTGTAGTCCCGGCTACTTGGGAGGCTGAGGCAGGAAAATCAGTTGAGCCCAGAAGTTTAAGGTTGCTGTAAGCTGTAACATCACAGCACTCTACTCAGGGCAACATAGTGAGACTCTGTCTCAAAAACAAACAAACAAAATAACCCAGTCATAATAGTGGGTCAATAACACATATTGAGTACTTACTGTGTTTCAGGCACTGAGTTTAACTTCACATGCATTTCTCATTTAATTGTCACAATAATCTTAGGTAGATACCAGTATTATTTATTCCTATTTTACTTTTGAGAAAACTGAGGCACAGAGGGACAAAAAAGTCCTCCCCCATACATTCAAATAGTAAGAGGAGAAGCTGGGATTCAAACATCAGCAGACTGCACCAGGCTTGTAACCACAAAGCTATGTGCCCTCTCATGGGGCTTTCTCTATTTTCTGATTTATTCATATGGATTTCTGGATGGAAGCAGTGAGAGGATCATGCAAACATGCTCCCAGCTTTCCTGGAGATTTTTTACAAGGTCTTATTTTAATTCTTTCTTTCCATCCTTCCTCTTTCTTTTCTTTTCTTTTTCTTTTCTTTTTGAGACAGAGCCTTAGACTGTCCCCCTGGGTAGAGTGCTGTGGCATCACAGCTCACAGCAACCTCCAACTCCTGGGCTCAAGCGAGTCTCCTGCCTCTGCCTCCCAAGTAGCTGGGACCACAGTCATTATTGTTGTTTTGTGGGCCCAGGCTGGATTTGAACCCGCCAGCTCAGGTGTTATGTGGCTGGCTCCTTAGCTACTTGAGCCACAGGTGCTGAGCCTTTCCTCTTTCTTATGTCCTTTCTTCTCTCTCTGTCTTCATTCCTTTCTTTTCCTTCCTTCCTTTATCCCCTCCCTTCCCCCCTTCCTTTTTTTGAGATAGGGTCTTGCTTTCACCCAGGCTGGACTGCAGTAGCATGATCATAGCTTACTGCAGCCTCAAACTCCCAGGCTCAAGCAATCCTGCCCCACCCATTCCCCTGCCTCTGCTTCCCAAAATGTTGGGATTACAGGCATGAAACACTGCACCCTGCCACAATATTGGTTTTTACTTCCAATTTGGGAAGGAAAAAAAAAAAAGAGTTCAAGCTTGACTCTTCCTAGTTCTCCTTATTTCAGTGGTCGGCTAGGCTTATTTTCTAGGTGTCCATTTCAATTCTACTTAAAGGAGTCGGGGACATAACCAAAAGGTAAGTTCAGGAGGAACTTTCCCCCCAAATTTCAGGGATTATTGGATACCAGTCATTGTTCTATGAAGAAAATTTGGGATGTACTAGAAAAATATGGGGAACAACTTTAGGCTTAATCAGGTCTGGAGTGGTCTCCTTGACTGAATAGATCAACAAGTCACTCTGCGCCCATTAATCTGGCAAACACATTCTTCTCTTTTCCTACCCAATTGGACAGTTTGCCTTTACCAGGCAGCAGCGTATCTCCACCCAGCCTCAGACATGAATAACTGGGCAGTTTTGCAAGCACTTGACCAGCATCCCCAGGATATCATGCTGCTTATCCTGGATAACTGGAAGTGGAAAAAATCCTAAGTGTCTTGGTAAAACGTCTATGCTTGATTGGGAAGATTATCCTGGGGTCAGCATACCTTCCCCCTAGTGAAATCCAAATTATACTTGTGCCTTGGTTTCACCCAACCCACCATCTACCCCCCATAGTGCACAAAGCAGTTCTAAAATCTTGATGAAAGCATTTACATTTGGGTGTTCTGCTCCAAATTCATTTAGTGGGTAACTTCTGAATCTAAGCAGGGTCTTGAGCAAGTGAAGATTCTCTGGGTGGTCCAGGTCGCTGCATGATTCTGGCAAGCCTGGCTGGCCCTTCCAACCCTGCAGAAGTCACATTATCTATAGCAGATATGAACCCTGTTTGGAACTTGAAAGTTCTAAAAGAGGCTCTGGTTTTCTTGAGCAAGGCCAAGCCTATGAGGCTAACTATCCAGGCTTCAGCAGAGATTAGGCATTCTGGCGCGGGATCTCACGTGACCCTGCTACCAGGACTGGTGGAATCTGATAGCCCATCTATACCCCTAGCAGCACACGATGAGCCAACAGAAGCAGGTACAGATGGCACAGGGTTGGAGTTAACACTGAAGTTACCAGTTAGCTGCCTGTTCATGCCTACACCAGCACAATGGCTGCCTTACTGGTGGCTCTGTGAGACATACTGGCACCAGCAGACAGTGAGTGCTGAGTTACAGCCCCACGTGACACTAGAGGACAGCAGTGAAGAGAAATCAGCCCCAAAAGAGCTCCAAGGTGTCACATTGTATCCTCTATTTGAATAGATGGCTTGTGTCTTGATGGGTCCTGGTGCAAAGGACTTGGAAAGAATAAAATTGGAGACAAGGAGGTTCAGGAGAGTATGGTTCATAAAAGTCGACTTCCTGACACAGGCCCAGGGTCCTACATGAAAGCTCACCAAACACTTCCACTGCAGGGGACTAGATGCCCCATTCTTCACAATAAAGCCTGAGGCTATCAAAGACATTGCCAAACCATGGCCCACCATGTGTGCCCCTCAGATTTCACTGTAGATGCTGCACTGAGCATCTGAAGGCAGGGACTCCACTGTGCTGGCCACAATCAGTGCCAAAGAAGGGAAGAGCAGTAACCAGCTGGAGGCCGTGGCCCTCAGGAGTGCTGGGTACAAGGTGCAACTTGATGCCTGCTTCCTCACCTGGAGAATGCTCTGCCCATACACCCTAATTGGTTTGTATTTCTTGGTTGTTCCCAGGCCCTTCTAACCCTTGTAAGGTGGGAGTTATGAGTCATGGAAAGAGCTGGATTCTGTTTGTTTTCCTCTGGTGGTAGCTGAAGTTCATGTTAATGGCAGCAAAGGGAGAGTTCTGGTCAAACATATCTTCTTTTTTTTGAGACAGAGCCTCAAGCTGTCCCCCTGGGTAGAGTGCCGTGGCATTACAGCTCACAGCAACCTCCAACTACTGGGCTCAAGCGAGTCTCCTGCCTCCGCCTCCCAAGTAGCTGGGACCACAGGCGCCCGCCACAACGCCCGGCTAATTTTTGGTTGCAGCCATCATTGTTGTTTGGCGGGTCCGGGCTGGGGATTCAAACCCGCCACCTTAGGTGTAAGTGGCTGGCGCCTTAGCCGGTTGAGCTATAGGTGCCGAGCCAGGTCAAACATATCTTCAACCTCATCTCAGATGCTGCTCTAGGGCCTGTATCTGAACTAGGGCCATGGGTCTGCACAATTACTTACTCAACTTTGTGAATGTCAATCACAAGTACTCCCAGTACCCACAAGGTTTAGTTCTTTGTCAACCAGGTGTCCTCTGTCAGTGCAATTTGGTGAGTGGTCCAAGAATGCTGGCAGTGTCAAGGCAGATGTGGGTCACTCAGGCCATGGCTGGAGACAGCCACCAGAATACATGGGGCCTCATCTTTTGTCTTCTGGGTCTTGGATACACCAGACTCTGGGAAACAGAGGCCAGTATTGAGCAGCAGGGCCCTGGCCAGTAGTTAGCCTATGGCTCAGGTACTGGGAGATATGTGCTCCAAGTCAGAACCTTGTGCCCCAGATTAGAGATCAGCAAACCTTTTCTTTGTATGTCATGTGGTCTCTGTTGCAACTACTCATACTTGCCATTGTAGTGTAAAAGCAGTCAACAAACAGGTGTGTGTTCTAATAAAACTTTATTTACAAAAACAAGGCTGGGCATGGTGGCTCACATCTGTACTCCTAGCACTCTTGGGAGGCCAAGGTGGGTGGATTGCTTGAGCTCAAGAGTTTGAGACCAACCTGAGCAAGAGTGAGACTCCATCTCTACTAAAAACACAAAATAACTAGCTGGACATTGGGGTGGGCACCTGTAGTCCAAGCTACTTGGGAGGCTGAGGCAAGAGGATTACCAAGAGTTTGAGGTTGCTGTGAGCTATGATGATGCCATGGCGCTCTACTCAGGGCAACAACAACAAAAAAATAAACCCCCAAACATAAATAGACAGTAGGCCACATCTGGCCTGTGATGGTACGTAGGACATAACTTGGCTGCCTTACTAGGGCTGTGGCCCAGTCTGATCTGTGAAGTGGAAGCCACTCTAGCGCCTGGTGCTGTGCTGAGGCCATACATGGGGGTTCTGACCAAGTGGCTGGTGCAGAGGCCAGGCTCTGAGGGCCATGGCTGGAAACACCTAAGCCTGCCTCATAAGAAGCACCAACTGCTTTATTCCAACCGTCCTACTCTACTCTCCATAAACACATGGTCCCTGGATGGGCACTGTCCTTACTGGGCCCCTAGGATCCCTTGTGCTGTGGCCTGACCACCAGCCCCTCTTTAGTGATGACCCAGTTGTAGCTCTTCTGGGAGTCCAATGCTTCTTCCACTCGTGCCTCCAGGTTCTCTCGAGTGATGAAGGTTTTTGCCTCCTCCTATTGGGAAAGAAAAGGCCAGCTGAGTGGGAGCCTCCTGCATGTGCTTGGCGGCCTCTTGGTGCTTCACTGACTTTCCAGCAGAGTAACATCACGTGGCCTTATCATATTCCTTCTTAGACAATCACTCCTTGGACACTTCAGCCAGAACCCCAAGCACCATCTATGACAATCTCATGTTCTGCTGGGTGGAATCAGCCCGTAATTTTACTTGATACCTTCTGAATTGCTCTCAAACTTGTCCCGCTTCCTCTTACATTAAATCAAGCCTCATCTGTTCTCACTGGATTACTCCTAACTGGTCTCCCTGAATTAAATCTTACACCTGCCAATCCTAGCTTAGGATATTTACCCCTTCAATGACTTCATCACCCGTACAGCAAAACACAACGGCTTCGTGGACGGAGGGGGCCCTCCCACAGACACACTTGCCATCTGGTAGGCACTTGAACACCTTCCAGTTTCTACTCTCAACTCTGGGTCGCTCCCTTTTCTCACCCACTCCCTGCTAACTCTAAGCCTCCGTACGTGGCCAGCACTCCACTTCGCGGCGCCCAGAATTTCCACTGCGGCATCCGCCAAGCTCTGGCTCAAGCCCCACCCTCCGGAGCCGATGCCCACCTGCAGCTGCAGAACTTCTCGCTCCTTGAGCTGCACCCAGGCCTTCGCCTCTTGGGCCTGACGGTCCTGCTCCTCGGCCCGCCGCTGCTTCAGCTCCTGCGCCTCCCGCTGCAGCCTCTCTATTCTACGAGGGGCAAGAGGCCGAGGCTGAGTGGGGCCCGGGCCTCTCCCAGGCAGGCCAGGCGGCGCTGCCCCGCCTCCCGCCCCACGCACCGTAACTGGTGCAGACGCTGGTTCTCCGCCTGGTTCCAGGCCATCAGATCCCTGTGATCGGCGGCGTCCTGCAGGGCCTTGCGCTCCGCCAGGACCCCGGCTCGGGCCTCGTGCACCTTTTTCCGCACCTCGGACACGAACTCCTGCCTAAGCGGAGAAGGCTTCAGGTCGGCCCCCTCTGCTCCCATACTCCCCTGCCGACGCGGGCGGCCACCTTCCCCTTGGTCACACACCTGATGGCGCGCACGGTCTGGCGGTACTGCTGATACCGCTGCATCAGCACTAAGTACTCCGCAGGGTCCACCAAGGGCGGCGTCTTCACGCGCCCGACCTTGGACTTGGCTGGCGGGTCGTGGCGGGTCTTGCGGCCGCGCGCCGGCAACAGCTGCAGGACCATGGGCCGGCACGGGGGCCGGACGCCCAGGCCGCTCAGCACGCGCAGCATGGCGGAATTCACAGGCCACTGCCGCGCCGCCCGGAGTCCGCCGAGACCCGGAAGTGGTCGCTAGGCACAATGGGACCTGTAGTCCTCGGCGCCCTCTCCAACCTGCAGTCCTGCCGTGTGGCCTGTGCAGCTGCTGACTGCGCGGGACCCTGGACATATCTGCATGCGACACTCGCCCCCAGGGCTCTGGCCGGGCCCTCCCGCGTTCCTTCAGCTCCGACGCGAGGAAGGGCCCCAGCGAGGGTGAGAGATGCTCGGACCAAGGAGAGAACACGAGGCAATAGCTTGAACGACCTCGCACTTTTATTGTAGGGCAGGTGTGTGGGGTCGCGTGCTGCCTCGGGTTCTAAGTCTGCAGAGGAAGAGGGGCAGTGGTGCACGTGAGATACTGATCGCCTGACCACAGAGCGTAGACTTTCCTGGCCTCCTCCTCTCTGGTCCCCACCTGGCCCCCTCAGCAGGCGCGCCCTCTCTTCCCTCCCGACCTGGAGGACCCAGCTTGGGAGTCTCCAGCTACCTGGGCCCGCGGCCTTGACCACGCTAAACAAACACTATCTAGAAAAACCAGGCTCTCTCCCGCTTAAATAAATTAGGCGGTAAGGCTTTCCCTCATAGGAACTTAACCTTTCGCCTTTAGTTATAATGAGAGAAGATACCCAGAAAAAGTGGGGTCTAAGAGAACAGAGGTCTTCTCAAGGAGACCCCAAGGATACACTTGCAAGATCCTCTCCATGGTGACTCAGTTCTTAGGAATTTGTAGAAACTTCTTGGGACCTGGAAACTAAAGCTTGCTTCTGCTTCTGTAAAAGGGGGAGCCCGCTTCTCTAGCTTGATTTAAAATGAGAAAGGTACCCTTGGGCTGGAATTTTTGACTGGAGAGAAAAAGAAGACAGCCAGTCCTGGAACCAGGCCAGTTTGGACTCTGGTCTGCCATCGCTTCGCCGCAGCTGTAATAAAGACCTTTCTCTCTTAAACACTGGTGTTTAGGTGTTCTTTCTCTCCATTGAGCCTCATCTCCCTGCAACAATAGTGCTTCCCTGGAGCTCTTTAAATATAGTATTGCCCCTGGAATTTGAAAGCTCCAGAACTCAACTCAGAATCTGAACGATTAATTTGAGCCAATTTTGCCTGAAATTTGAACACCCGGCACGTTGTTCATGTGTTTTTGTACATATTTCCCCAGCACTCGGGCCACCCATACACTTTGTCCTTCAGTTCGTTGTCGGAAGCTGTAGTGAAAGCATCTTGTGTGATTTTCGCTAATTTTATGCTTTTGTGCCTGTCTTTTTTTTTAAATTAAATCATAGCTGTGTACATTAATGCAATCGTGGGGTACAATGTGCTGGTTTTATATACAATTTGAAATATTTTCATCAAACTGGTTAACATAGCCTTCATGGCATTTTCTTAGTTATTG